CCAGCATTTACGCTATTTAAATAATTAAAAATATCAGCTAAATATGCCATTTTAACACACCAAATATCGTCTGTAAGAAAAGATATAAAAACAGTGTTATCTTCGTTTTGAAAAAACATTAACAATTCATTCTTAAGTTCCAGAATTCGATTTAGAACTTTACCTCGCGATAACCATCTTACTTCACAATGTAAAAGTAAACATACGTGCTGAGTTTCCATTGATTCACACAGTTTTTTAAATAGGCGTGATTGTAATGGACGCGATTTTATGTAGTTAACCATGCTTACAATTTTATCCAATACAGACTTTAATGTAATAGGTAATGTTTTCGAAATAAGTGATTCTCGGTGTAAAAAACAATGTGTAGATATGATATTAGGATTTTTTTTCTTCGCTAATGTTGTAAATCCTTTAATAGAACCAACCATTGAAGGAGCTCCATCGGTGCAGATTCCTACACATTGTTATGTTAAATTTATCTAAATATGACGAAATTGAATCAAAAACATTCTGTCCTGTTGTACGTTCAGTAAGTTGTTTACAGCATAAAAATTGATTCACTATTTTATTTTCATCAATGAAACGAACAAATCCTAGTACGTGAGCTATACCACTGATATCAGTAGACTCGTCAATTTGCAAAGCGAAATATAGTTTATTAGTAGTAAGCTTGTTAGTGACAGTTTTCTCAATATCATCTGACATGTGTATAATTCTGTTTTTTATTGTATCGTCTGAATGCGGAATTTTCATAATTTCTTTTTTTTGCATCATCGCCAAACATAATTTGAACTATTTCTGAACATGCCGGTAAAATCAAACTCTCTGCTATGGTGTGTGGTTTTAACTGTTTTGCAATTATTTCGGCAACTTTATAAGATGCGATTTGTGCTTTATCAGATATTGTTACAATTTTTTTAAAATGTTTTCTTTGATTCATTTGATTATTCAACAACCTTTCAAAATAATTTTTTTCTTTAGACTGGAGATTGGCGTGCTTAGATGATAAATGCCGTTTTAATTTCGCTGGCGCCATTGCGCTATTAGACAACTTTTCCCCACAAACCACACAAAGGGGAATTTGACAATCATTTTCGTCAACATAAGTGAACCCAAAATTTAAATAATCGTTGCAATATTGTCTATTGACCTTTTTTATTTTATTCTCATCATTGACATTGCTTGTATTTGTACTTGCACTATCAGTACCAGAATCATGTTTCCGTTTAAGAAATTTGTCCTTTTTGTTATTAAAATGGTCGTTACAAATTAAATTAATTAACTAAATAAATTTTAAATTGTACTTACTTAAAAAAATAACAGAATCCTTATTTATGAAGTTGTACACGCGTCTAACGTTGATAACCGTGGGCAACGTACTAATAGTAATGTATTTTATAACTTTTATTAGTGCGGAAAATAAAATTGTCAATATCTATACGTATGTTATCGCAGTATGGTGGAGATAATCGTATAATATAATAATAATAATGTATATTAATATATTATATAGTATAGTAGTATACTGACACATTATATTATTCGAAAGTTAACGATAACGTTTTTGTGTACAAAAATAAACCAACAAAACCTAAAATGATTCTATTTTTGAAGAAATTTTTTTTTCACTGATTTTAAAATTTTGGCGGTACACTTATACGAAGTCCACGGAACACCTGTGTTCCGCGGAACACCGGTTAAGAACCACTGTCGTAGACCGTAGTCCCGGGAATTCATGAAGTCGATAATAGGCAGGCGGTCGCGGTGGCACGACAACGCGATAACGGAATACTCACACTAACATTAATTTACTTCTCACACATTGACAAAGCTCAAATACAAATGTTATGCGAAATGCCTAAATATTACTCCTTAAAACATACTATATGCTCCAGCGATGTGTGCGTATAGAATATTATCAAAAGCATGTCTTATCAATGAGTAAATAAAATAAACGGATCGTTCTGTAATAAGTCGTCACCGTCATGCATAAAATTGGTAAACAATCGTCCCGTCTCTAGTCCGTAATGATGTTACTGATAAAAATTTCATTGTAAGCGTTTTTGTGTCGAGCGTTCCATCGTCCATCTTGTTCTTTTGTTCGTTCGTTCATTTGTCCACCTCAGACATCAACCGTCCCTGTGACCGAGTGCCGTTCGCCAAATGCGCATACATCCCGTCGGTTTGTGTCGCGCGTTATTCATCGGAACTGCAACCTTAAGTTTACGTGCCGTACCACGCGTTCGGTGTGGTAATCTTTTCGCGCTGACCGCCAGCGAACGTTCTCGATCGAACCTCAAGGATGTTTGCTTCCTTGATCAAAACGCTCTTCAAGGGAACTTCGGACAACATAAGTGGATCGTCAAATCATGACGAACCACAAAATAACACGAAAGTGATCAACCTGAAACAGGATGTTGAGAACATGCTCTCCGAAGTGAACGAAATTGATTGTTTAAATCGTAGCTCATCCAAAGAGAGCATCGCTGATTCTTTTGAGTTAATATCCTTCGCAAACAAAATGTCGGAAGATTTAAACGATAACAGTTTGGATGAATCAAAGAGTGAAATCAACTTCGACGAAGAAACCATACAAGATCCGGTTGAAGATAAAATTCAAAAGAATGATATAGTCAAAAAAATTAACAGTCTGCAATGTATTTTTACGTGGAAATTGAAATCGAATGAAAGAAATATTATTTCACAAATATTAAATGAATATGGTGATTATAACTTGGATATTTCTTCACCAGAATTTTCATTGAAAAGGTAAATATTCAAGAAATTATATTTATTTGTAGGAATAATTTATATTTTTGTCACTCATTCTCAGGTTTATAGGCAATTTGATTATTGGTTATGAGTTGTTCCATAATGGTGAAATCGAAAATGGTCAAATTAAAATATTGGAAATTGGTAAATGGCTAGAAGAATTAGATAACGGCTCAGATAAATTTTATTTGTCCATTAATACTGGCCTTTATCATATCATGAAAGGCACTTTTATTCACATGTTATATGCTTCAAACCTTTTGGAAGAGTGTAAATGGGTAAGATATTTTTTAATTATTTATTATTTCGATGATTGCAGCATATTTGTTGATGTTATATTTTAAAGTATTGAGTAATGGTTTTAACAAATTTAAAAACACCAAAATATAATTTAAATTATCCACTGATTAGATATATTACTTAGTTTATTTGTTATGATTTTGATTGAGTTGATTAATAGTTATAGTCATTGTATTATAATATATTTTTTATGCAGCCCAAAAATAACTAAAAAGTTATGGGAGTTTAGGGTTTGTACTTCAATTATTTCCTAGCCATACTATTAATTATTTCATTTTACAATTATAAAATTATTTTTTTACAAAAAAACTATTGTAATTTAAATAAAGTTATAATTAATTAGAAAAAATTAATTTAAACATGCGATCTTGAATGTAAATAGTATCCAGGACCATTAAAATTATTTTATGTGTACTTTTACTTGAAATAAATATAATTATAAATTATAAAAACAAAATATTCTTTTTAAATGTATGGCAAGTCACATATCTTATCCATAATATGTCTATAGATTGCATGCTTTACTAATCTTTTTTATTAAAAATGACCCAAAAAAGACCACCATAATTATTATTTTGAAATATTACCCTATTCCATAATAGAAATCCTGTCAATATCCTTAAAGTACATGGTTAATATTTTAGAATCTTATATTTGATTATTATACCTATATTTTAAGTGTTAGTGATTTTAAAATGATACCAATGGCTTTTTCATTTACTGTTATATATTTATTTTTCAGTTATTAGATGATATTATACCATTCAATAAAATGAACTGTATACCAAAAGCTTCTATATTTGCTATACATGCTGCTGTATTAACTGAGTATGGTGCAAATGCACAATATTACAAAAAAGCTTGTTATTTTGCAAATAAAGCATGTGTCTTGGATCCAAGTTCTCCACATTGGTTTTACATTTATGCTGTGGCTTTAACTAAACAAAGAACATTTTTACATTCATATAAATCTCATCCGACAGAAAATGAAATAAATTCAATCCAACACGCAATTATATTATCTGATGGAAAGGATACAGTTTTCAACTATCATAGAATATTATTAGATAAAGATTCTATAATTAGAAATTTTCATGATAATATTAACATAAAAAATAAAAATATGTATGATATAAATTTAAAGGCAAACCAAAAAATTGTTGAAATGATCAAGTGAGTCAAAATAAAAAAATGTATTATTTTTATCTTGATTTGTTTATGATTATTTATGTTTTTATTTTTATAATTATTAATCCTATTTAAAAGGATATTTATACTGTTATTTATTATAGATTAAAATTTACAATTTGCTTGTATACCTCAAATATTTACCAATTTTTTTATAACAGAGACTTAAGTAATTCATTAAATTATGCATGTGTATTGGTAGGTATAATTTGAAAATTGTACATTCAAATTTATTTAAATTTAAATTGGACTCATATTAAGGACGTTAGAAATATTTTTAAGTAAACACATATTATCAGCATAAAAATATTAATTTTTGTTATTTATGTTTTTTCAGAACAGTTATTAGTATGGAGCCAAAAGATCCTCTAGTGATTGTCGGATGTGCTAAAATATTAATGACACTTCCAATTAAGGTTCGTGATTTTGATTTAGGAAAAATGTATCTAACAAAAGCTATGCAAATGGCACCAAACGATGTGGCGGTTTTAAATTCTATTGAAAAGGCAATTACACATTATAAACGTGTAGTAAGTAATAGTAGTAGTAATTTGATTAAATTTAAAATTATATAATTAATTTATTTGTTGTTATTTTTATTTTCATTTTAAATTGTAGTCAAACAAGACGTATGAACACAAAAAAACTGCCTCTAAACAATTTCAACCTTCATTCAAAAATAAAAAATCTAAAATAGCTGAAAAATTAAGGTTTTTAGTGAATAATCATAAAAATGGTAAAGATCCTCTACCCGATCTAATTGCTATGCTTAATGAATCAAATGGTCGTGATAAAGTGATAATTATGGCTCAGATTTGTTCATATACAATCTTATTTGCTAATAATTTAAGAGCTGGAGTTGAACAGTTCATGGTGTTACTTGAAGAACCAAAAATTAACAATGATCATTTAATTATCGTAAGCTTATCCCATTTTAAATATCAAAACGTATTTTACATCCAAAATTTTTGTTAACAATTTAATATTACAGAATTTACTTTCTCATTAATATTTACTGAAAATTATTCCAATTCATCATTTGTATTTAATATTTATTTTAAAATATTACATATATTCAATAGTTAATTTAACTATTTCTCATGTATTAATTGTTGTTAAAATATATTTAATTGGTTTAATAATAGTTTTATTTAATAAACACATCAAGATTTATCAATTTATAACAAATACTATTTATATAATTTTGATGTTGGTAGATAATAAGATTAAAATATATATACTGTAATTATTAATAATTTGTGGTATAAAAAAAGGTAATTTTTATTTTTTTTTCCAGGATCACTTTTCATCATTTGGCTCAAAAAAGTTTAATTTAGCAGATCTTATTTGTAATGAAATAAGATTAGCCACAAATTCATGTGAAACTCCTTCTGAAGAAATGTTGTTTTATTTTAAAGCATTAACTAAGATAATGGAAACATTTAGACTAGAAATGAAAGATGTTGATCCATCAATGAAAAGCAAACTAATTGTAAATTCTTCTGATAGATTAACATGTTTGAGTGCAGCATTTAAAAGTGGATTAAATTTGTCGGATAATAACAGTGAAGTTGGTCAGAATAAAAATATAACTAATAAATCCAATAAACCAAAGAGCTTCCAAAATGTTGGTCCAAAAATATTTAAAGCAAAATCTAGAGGGAACAAAAAAAACAATTTAAATACATCCAATGCCAAAAAATTTAATTTTCAAACAAGTTTTCCAGGTCAATCTCATCAGTCGAATATTGATATATGTACTGATGATATCAATCAAATGAAGTCTAAAATGTCTAAATTTTTAAAATCTTCTGAAGAAGTTGAATTTTCAAATCATGTGTCATTGGGAATCAAAAATCTTGGAGCATTACAGACACAAGAAAAAATAAAGCGATATTCTCAGATGTTGTATCAACATGTTTCCAATGACAAACCACTACAAAATACTTCTTCGGTAGATTCAAATACATATCCTCATCAAAACAGTAACAATTCGAACCATATGTTTCAATCATCTCTCCCTTCATTACTTAATATCAGACCCCAAATAGATCCAAGGTTTTTACCATCTACTAGTAGACACCATATTAATAGAAAAAAATGAATCAGTTAACTAGTTTTTTGTTTTTATTTTTATTTAAATCAACATAAAAATCTTTATAATTATGTTTTAATATTCTTAATTTTTGAAACAAAATTATTTTATTATTTTCAAGTGTACATTTATGTTCTATTTGGAAATTTATATTTTTTAATTTTAAGGTTTTTTTTTTTTTGCAAAGATTTTCAAAATTACTACAGTTAAGCTATATTTCTGTTTAAATTAGCTCTTGTTATTTTATATATGATTATTTTAATGCACTAAAATAAAATTTAGTTAGTACTAAGTTATTAAACTTCATTATTGATTAAGTAACCATAGATAGCCCACGCAATGATAATTATTGGAAATGCCTAAAATGTCTCAAATGGAGCCAGAATTGTAGTAATGGATTCCTGATAATAGAATGCACTGGCGTTCTATATAAATATTTATAATCTCCAATTTATTGTTATCCGTGATCAATGTAGGTACAATAATGATAAACTTTAATTAATTTTAACCATTGTTGTACGTGTACATCTGTCAATTATCATTACATGGTTTATATGGGCATATATCGACTCCTAACCTACCTGTAAGAAACCTATCGATTGCGCCGAAAATACATGTAACATCACTATATACATATTACTTTATATATAATATATATACCATATCTAGCACGATGTTTTTGTAAGAAAAAAAACATATACATTTTATAGAATAAATATATAATAATAATATATATATAATAATCAGCATCAATTGTAGTTGGATTGAAATATAAATTTTGAGCTGAGCATGTTTTTAAAATTCATCTAAATGCGGTAACGTATTTATTTGTGCTTTTGTCTAGTAATAAGAAATAAGATAATGGAACATAATGTTCATTTTTAAAAATATGAACCGTAAACAGTTGATAGAAATATTTTGGGCACCAATGAAATGTACCATCTTTAAATATTTTGTCACTAGAGCATAGCAATTTTAAATTAGAATTTGTAGAGTAGAATAAAATATTATTAACTGTGTCAGTATTTAGTATAAAATCTGCTGGAAAAAATATGTATTTACTTAGACGTAAATAGGGGAGGGAGCTTGGGTGGGCTTAGCCCACCCTTCAGCCTTTTGAGGCAACCTAAATGAAATATGAAAATGTTAAATAAGAAAATAATAAATTGTCAATTCCTATTAGTTCTGCTTCGTGTGAACGATCGTTCTCCTCAATGAGAAGAATTAATTCTTATTTAAGGTCAAATATGGCACAAAACAGGCTTACAAATTTAAGTATTTTTAACATTGAACGAGAATTATCAAACAATTAAAAATGACGATATTCTTAACCAATTTGCAGAAAAAGATAAGAAAATGCAATTACCTGGATAACAAAAAATACTATTTTATAATAAATGTACTTTGCTGGTGGATATTTAAAATTGTATTTTTTTATTGAAAATGTTGGTATTCATAATTGTATTATATTTTCTTGTTTATTAAGGGAGTAGGACAAGGTCTTACAATACCTTCCTTCTGGTAAACATTTTAACCATGGACTCGAGCCCACTCAATTTAATGGCTCTAGATACGTCTATGTGTATTCACAAAATCCGAAAATGTTTTAATATTATAATGTTTATGTTATATTCTTATATACATATATAAATATTCGGTCTATCAATATATACAAATATTCAATGACACAATTATGATAATTACTTCCTTGAAAATTTTTAATTCAACAATTTAATAATATAATATTTGTTCTGAGATACAGGCCACTTCACTTTATAGGTGGTTAAACAGAATTATATTTTGTTTGTATAAAACTATTATAAATTTGATATATTTTCTTATCTCAGGATATTTTACTCAAACAGGTTTCCTGAACCATCGGACGACTTGATCCTGCCGTCATTCTCTGCCTATCTTAATTCAATAATAATTATTTTTTCAATTATGACACTTAACGCTATCTATTGTCACATTTATCTTATTACTTAACAGGTTTCCATATTTTTCTATACCGTGGACTATCAATGTATATTTAATCAATGACTTCATCATAGTATTGATCAATTTTATCAAAATTGAATACCAACAGAGGCGCATTTCCCATTAGGCACTGTAGGCAGCTGCCTAGGGCGGCAAAATTTGGTGGTGGCTAATTCTGTAGTGTTTTATTAGAAAACATCGTATGCAAAAAAAAATTGGAAAATTATTTACTTTATATTTACGAAAAATAATTGTATAATAATGGGTGCATTTTATTAATATGTTATCGTCGGAATTTTGGGGGAAAATAAATACCCCCACTACCACACTATATTACTAATTCGACTGTATATTAATAATCCTATGCTGCTATTATGAAAATCTGTTTTTAATAAAATTTGGTGGACGTCCATTGATATTTTTTCAAAGTAGACTAATTAATAAAAGTGAAAAAAATAGTCTAAACATTCAAATGAATATAGGTACATATATTTATATATTTAATATTTAGATTAGGTATTTCGGAAGACTATAAAACTTCTTCGCCTAATATAGAGGCGGTAAATTGTTGGTGCCTATAGCCGTAAAAAAGATAAATCCGCCTCTGAATACCAATAGCAATATATTAGTTGTATGTATTAAATTTAAAAAATATATCTATCATCAATGACACTAACTTTCTTATTATACTGACAATTCAAAAATTTGAATTATTTATATCAGTTTGATTCTTTTGGTGTTTGCTAAATGTGAATAATAATCACATGATTAAAGCATATTTTTACTTATAAGGTTATTTAATCATAATGTATATTAATAATATAATAAGTTTATTTATAAATATTATAACTGTACAACTATTGATTTGAATATGGGATTAATGATTATTTTTTGGTGAACTGATGTTTTTGTTCCTCAAAATATGAATAAAAAATATTTGTAATTTCTAAATTATGAAATAACTAGCTGAATTACCCGTCGTTGCCGGGTTTAAGTATATAAATGTATGTAACCTGCCAAGATTAAATTTTGTTAAATTTATTGAAATTTAAATTAATTAAGATTTTTGAAATAATATTTTATATATATTAATTTAGTTTTTAAGATAATGATTATTATCATAACCTATTCGATAAGTTATAGCTTACAACTACCTGAACCTCTCTACAGTTTGGTATTCTGTTGAATACATATAGCATCTCACTTCTCCGAATATTTTACCTTTTGTCAATAAGTTCATGGTCTTTTTGACTTTTAACCGAAACACTCTTGCAATTATATCATATCGATCATATGATCTTTGACCGGGAAGTAAGAGCTCTTTTATCTCGTCCCAGCGAGGATTACATGTAAAAGTAATAAAAAGGTCAGGACGACCGTAATGTCTAACGTAGGTCATAGCATCTTGTGTTCTTTCGTGCATGTACCTTGGCCCACCAGTAAAAGTTGACGGGAGTATAACCATTTGGTCTAACTGATTAGCTTCTATGTCTCATCGTCCAATCGCATCTTTTAAATGAATATAACTATCTGCACGCAATTTGGCTTGGTTGTTTTTGATGTAATTTAGTCTTTCAGTTTCAATTTTGGCGTATTCATCTACCAAATATTGACTGAAAAGAAAACGATAATTAACTAAATAGTTGTCTTCCCCTTCTCTGACCATTATTCTATGAGTAAAAACTTGATGCAGAGACAGTTTTTTTAAGCGGTAATTTGGTTTTTGGATCGCGTTGTGGTATATTGATTGCATACCCATCATCCCCCCCAACAAAACATTAAAGGATACTGCAGTGCGTCGTATGCTCGATGTATCTCACTGATACGGTGAAGTGAATTACTTCGGTTTTCGAGGATGATGTCTCTTCGATCAAACTGCTGATCTACTAATACTAAAGCAACTTCATTTGCCGTTGGTGCATTACACCTGCCTCTATGTTCTTCTGGTGGTTTTTTATCTGCATGTATTACAACTTTAAATGACTCTGAAGGAGGTATTTTATCGATGGTAAATTGTAATGATCAATTGTAAATTATGCGGTGGCATGCCTAGTAAATCCAATGAGTTTAAAAACTCTGTTGGATAATTTACAACTTCAGTAGCATCGCAAACTGTATCTAGATTTGTATGACACCAAGTTCTCTGGCAACAAATTTTGTATCTTGAGATTCAATTCGTTGACCTCCACATTTTTTGCTACTAAAATTGCTCTTTCTGCCAGCCACTCATGATTTGTGTATTGTCTGTGTATACTGGGACATATCTGGTCAACGAGAGCATCTTGCGAATAAATGATAAACGATAAAAACGATAAAACGATAAAAATAAACGATAAATCTCGTTTCATCTGTATTAACTTTCCCATCTCCAATATCTTTGGATCTAACGCAGCTTTTTTTGATTTAATCGAAATCGAAGTATCGAAATCGTTCGCTATCTATCTTTATATATATTTCGACCATGAATTGTTGACAAAGCTTATGCATCGTAAAATAACTTAGTCCTGATCGCGTCTAATCATCAACCGGTATGCATAATAATTTTTTGAACTAACATTCTTATTTGTTTTGGCACCTGTTGCGGGATCTTTTTGTTTAATATTTATGCAATACCCGTCATTTACTACCAAAAATAAAATTAATAGTTTTTAATAGTTTTTTAATAATTTTTTTAATAGTTTTATTTAATATAATTCATTTTCAATAGCGCAGTTATCGACCTGGTCAAAAAATATTAAACCGATTTCAACCCTTTAAATTCAAAATTTCGAAAAATCCTTTCTTAGCGCACGTCTACATCATAATAGCTATCTGTATGCCAAATTTCAGCCAGATCCGTCCAATGGTTTGAGCTGTGCGTAGATAGCAGTCAATCAGCTTACTGTTTTATATATACAGATAAGAAGATTATTATGCATAAATCAGTAAATAGATATTGCTCAAGTACAACATGCACTAGTGAATTATTGTTAAGGTATGATTGATTTCCTAACATACAATTTATGAACTTATGACCTGAGACCAGATTTATATGTGCTAAATATCTTAAAAATAAGATGCTTTAATACTTTATAATTTCA